CAGCGCATCGAGGTGACCCTAAGGCACCTAAACCACAATTCAAGGACTCAAGAACAACAACAACAACAACAACTTCTAAATAATAACCACAACAACGGCAACAATTTATGTTCTTCAAACGCATTTAAGGCTCTCAGAACGTTTTTCCTTTCAAAGAGAAGAAAACTAAATAAATTAAATTTAAATTAAATTAAATTAAATTAAAAGGAAATCGCAGCATTTCACAAGGCTTGCAACAAAGTTTAAGCAACAGCGAACGAACGTCTAGGAATGTGTAAATGTTAAATTTAAATTATATTAGCTGCACTATACGATAAGCCAAAACGTTAAAATATATTAAATGTATATTTATTATTAACACTAGCAAATATTAATTGTAATGCATAACAAAAAACAAAAAAAAAAAAACAAAAAAAATGAGAACCTCGTAAAGGAAAAATAACAACAACAAATTATGTATAAAATAACAAGCTATAGTTAAATATTTTGAAAAGCTGCTAAAAATTATACAAGAGAAAAAAAAGAACATATTTATTACGTTAAAACATAAAGCGTAGGCTAAGATGCTATACATACAAAAAAAAAAAACAAAAAATTATATATACTATATATGTATACATATGTATATATACATATATATACGTGTACATGCACGCAACGTTTCAAGCTGTTGTTTATTATGGATATAAGTATAACACTAAAGATGTAATTATACAAATATATACATGTATGTATATGTATGTGTATATGTATATGTATATATATTTATACAAACAAGCGAGATCGGCTTTAAATTATAACGGCATTAGTGTTACGATTAACTTAAATGACTAACAAACAAACAAACAAACAATGATAAAACGTATACAATTTGAACGAACTATTTAAGCATATAGCACACACATTTATACAGATGTATACATATACATATATATATAGTAATATATATGGGTATACTTATACAATTAAAATTAGTGTTGGATTTTTTTCAGTGTGATAATTTGTTAAATCTTTACGTATACTAATGTTGGTAATATTTGTTGCTATAGAACCTGTCCCAGCCAGACAACATTCTATACGATTTTTGTTCGATTCTATTTCCAAATGTTTTCTATACTTTATATACATATATGTATATTTATATATGTGCATACGCCCGATTTCATTTCAATCTGAACATCAACGACAATTATTTGGCATATTCAATTCAATTTTTTAACAACATTTAGTTATATCTATATTTGTTATGCTATTTAATTTTGAGCTGCACTCTAATTGTGTAATTGTAAATATATTTTTCACTTTTTTATACATATACTTTACATATATCTAATATATATATACATATATTATTTACGAAATTGTAATTGATAATTTAGTGAATTAATTAATTAATTTGTATGCTTTTAACGAGCAGTTAGAAAAGCGCGCGCGCACTGCACAAAAGTCGACGTGGCGATTCAATGTGAAGGCTATTTTACAGGTTTTTGTTTAAACTAATTTGTAACGAACGTTTTAACGATAACATACACAATATTTTTTAATTATTATATATATATATATTATCATCTTTACATATTATGTAGCATATCACAATTTCTTCAACTTTATTGCGAGAGAACGTTGTTTAGTTTCTCAAATTTTTATTGTATAATTATTATTATTATGTTTATTGATTTTTGATTTTTTGTAATTCTGTAAAACTGTAGTTGGGTTCAATCGTTATAAACATTATTTTAAAACACGAAAAAAAAAACAAACAAAACAAAAGCTATACAAAATTATACATATAAATATTATTATACATATATATATATTAAATATAGTTTTTTTAATTTTATTAAACATGTTTAAAATGCAAACAGATCCTAAATAAAAATTTATATACAATATATAAAAATAAAAAACAAACAAAAATGGGAAAGTGTGCATTTATTTATATATATTTCTTTTATCATTATTATTTTTTGTTCACTTAACAAATTATGATGCTGAGAAAACAACTACACCAACAACAACAACGATAAGTAATACAAAATGAAATTAACAAAAATTAAAAATAATGTAAATGTGCGTAAACAAATGGCGATATTAAACACTTGGGAAAATAGAAATACCTCTCGTTAAGTTCAAAAATGGAAAACCTATAATAAACATACAAATTTATACATAAATTAATGAAAATCAAGTATAATGAAATTAATGTTAATACAATTATTTGTACATATATTATATATAATATATACATACATATATATTTCAAATTTCACATACAAATACATTGGGGTAATTTAAGTTACGTGAATAATTAGTTGAATTTCAGTTATTTTAAGAGGCTACATCTAATGCAATTAAATTAAAGTGGAAGTGGAAGTATAGCAAGTGCTATACATACATATTTGTGTGAATATATATCCTTGCAGTTATTTGATTCAATTAAATTAAGTATTTTATTCCATGTCTATGTCTTAAACAATTTCACCCACTAAATTCTATCGAACATCACTATTAATGAATGTTTTGGTGTCTAATTGAATGGGCAGATTATCTAATAATGCTCGCAAGGGTATTATAAATAAGTTATTAATAAATGAAGGCCTTTGGCTGTCATCTAAGTTTTGATCTACACTCGAATAAGACCTCAAAGGGATGATATAAACAGATTATTGATAGCTGTAGGTCCCTGGTTGTCATCGAAGTTATGATTTGTGCTCGAATAAGACCTCAAACAGATAAACAAGAAAAAAGATTCATATATACATATATATATATATATAATATATATACACAAGTATACTGCATTTAAGTATAGGTTTGAATAATGCAAGTTAGGTTTAATTGCATACGTATATATTTACATATACATATATATTTATATATATAAGCAACTTGGCAAACGATTATAGCAAATTTCACACACATACACACACAAAAAGTACATATAAAGTGCATTAATGAATTTAAGCATTTAATGAAATTAATTAATTTATAAGCATACCAAATTATATATATATACGAAATTACTGAAATAGTTATACATAAACCAAACATATATATATATAATAAATTATATATATATTGAACAAACAAATATTTACAAAAAGAAAAATAATTCCATTTGCATAATAAAAATTGATTTCATAAAAATAATACACATAAAGCTAGCTACGAATTATACAGTAAAAAAAATTAAATTTCACAAATTCCATTTTTATACATAACTATATATATAAAAATATACATAAATATATATATATAGAAATAAGTTACAAGCACTTATATAAGTTAAAGTAATGAAAATTGTTGTACATACGAAATTCAACTTTTTAACAATTCCATTTGGTTTATTAATGATATATTTTCCTTTTAGATCTGTATATAGTTTTATTCTCTCTTTTTGCAACCTAGTACCATAAATTTGTACCAAATAAAAATGAAATAAATTATTAAATAACAACAAATACAAAATGCAACGCCCTGTACCCGTGCATCAGCCTACAACAAACAACCACAAATTGTTAAACAAATATATATATATATATAAAATACAAAAAAAAAAAAAAAAAAAACTATTTATTATAATTACAAAATGAAGCCCTGAACCGTAATAAGTAGTGCCCAAAAACAACTAATACAAAGCAAACAAAATTATATATATATATATGAATAAACATTAGCATTTAAAAAACGTTATAACAAATTCTAAAACAGCAGCCTAAATAGTTATTAACAAATGGAAAAATAGTGAAAGAAAAACAAACAAATTATAGCACAATTTTGTATAAACAAGAAGAACAAGAAATTCATGAATAACCACAAATACTTTCAAATAGAAGATTAGATATTTATACACATTATAATCACTCTCTCTCCCACACACACACACACACACTCTGGAATACTTAGGCAAGGCAAAGATTAGAGAGCAACACACCTACAATTGAATTATGAACATTTAACATTTATTATTTCTGCTGCTATACATACATACATATTTATATGTATATAGATTTTGTATCGGACAAGCTGGGAGGATCTATTGTTGATTGGCTGTGTTTAAAGAAAGAAAACAAAAGATAACGGAAACAAAACTGAATGCAAAAACGAAAAGAAGAGGAGCAAGTAGTTCGAACAGGTAACCAGATTCGAGGGTAAGTGTCGAGAGTTTGGCTTTAGGATTAGTTGGAGATCAAGTTAACTGATTTACGTTAGGTTAGTTTTTGGTAGGCATTCGATAAGGTATATACAACTATATATATATGTAGTATATACACGTACATGGGAATGAGATCAGTTTTAATTTCGAGCAAACTTCAGTTCAAATCATCTACATATGCATCTAGTATATACTAAGTATTAACCTGTTAGGCACATTGACATACATATGTATTTATGTGTATTATTATATATTCTGTATATTCTCTTTGCCTATGTTGATTTATATTAAACGTTTCTTTCTTTCACTGTATAAGCAATTGTCTATGAAATACAAACAATAGGAGAAGAATCAATAAATAAATGAAATAAATGATACAGTTAAATACCAAATGCAAGCCACATAGATGTTAAATGTTATATTTGTGTTATTGTCACTTGTCACTGTTCGTTCACTGTCACTGTCACTGTCACTGTCACTGTCACTGTTTATATGTTGTCTTTTTCCCTCTTACACACTCTATTCAAACGAAAAACAAAAACTATTACGTAATAAATAATTCAGACATATTTTATATAAGTCTATGTACCTTTTTGCTATGTATTGTATTTCTATGTACTAAACAAATACACACACTCACACACACCCACAGGCAGTTGCATATTATATAAAAAGAGAAAGTTTCACAAGCGAAAAAGAATTATAAAAACAATTTTCAGAAAATATTTGTTATGCAAAATGAAAAAAAAAAAAAAAAAACAACTAAGCTTAATGGCATTAATTTTTTAAGTAATTAATTAATTAATAATTGTACATGTGTAAATGGAGATTTTTGGAATTTACAAAATTCAAACAAAATGAATTTACATGAAAAAAAAAAAAAAAACAAAAAGAAAAAGAAAATACTAAGAATTAATATTATGTGCGCTACGTTTATGTTTGTACTTACAAATCTATGAATACTTAAATTTATTAATTATAAATTAAATATACAATGAAATTGCAACAACAACAACAACAACAACAGCAACACAGGCAACATCAACACACGTACACTTAATGTTTGAAAACAAAAACAAAAACAAAAACAACATTGAAAATGAGAAAATGAAAAAGACTAAATAAAATATTAACGAAATAAGATGAAGAACAAGAATTGGAGTTGCGCTTAGAATTTGCCCAGCTTGTTGGCCATGTCCACAATCATGTGCAGATTGGAGTTGAGAGTTTTGATCTGGTTCAGAGTAGCCGAGTCCAGCTGCTTGAGCACCTCGCGCTTCACCTCCGAGAGCTTCTGCGGCTTCAGCTTGAGCACGCCCGCCTTGGTGGGTATTTGGACATTGGCACAGCGCTCGGGAAAACTGCGAACGGACGGCAGGAAGAGGGTGAGTGAAGTGATTGATGATATTAGTATTAGATAAGTTCAAGTCTCACGTTTGCACGGCGAGCGGACTGCCGCCGGTGGAGAGCGCCAGCTCGCCGGGCTTGGGCCAGCGCAGGAGCGCCATACTTGGCAGATCAGCACGCTGCGGCACAGCCCGATCCACGGACTGCACCTGGAGCCGTGTCAACGGTGGCATCTGAGGCTGCGGTGTGCGCAGACGGCTGCTGCGTGCGGTCGACTGGCTGCGCGTTTTGGGTGGAGCGGCTGCAAGGAGAAAAGAATGTTGAAACAAGTCAGAATACTCTATGAGTGCCTGAGTAGGGGATAGTCGTATAGATGTATTATGTGTTGATTTGAATCGCGAACAAAAAAGGGGAAAGACCTAACCTTTTCAAGTCTTTAGCTTTTATAGGTGCTAAGATCGACGCTAAATCGACTCGGGTAGTTAGCCTGATCAAAAATGTATGTATATACTTTATCCTTCTGTCCGTTACATGTCCACTTGTCGATGGGGGTTCAGGGCATAAAAGAGCTGTACATGATTCGAGCCAACGGCAGCTACTCACCCAGACGATAGTCCTCAAAGTGCTGAAGATTTAGGTGCAGAAAGTCGCTCCACTTCATGTGGAGCACGTGGTCATGTGTGCGCGCCACGATGAGCTGCAGCTGATTGTGCACCTGCTGCATGGTGCGCTTGCCTAGCTCATCGATCTTCTCCAGCGCCGAGTCGAGCTTCATTTGCGCCATTCGCAGCTGATCCTCGCGTTCCGCCTCTTCGCGCAGCTGCTGGCGATTGCGTTTGGCTACTTTAGTGCGTGTCATCTCGAGACGAATAGAAATAAATGATCGGAAAATCCCCCGTTCTCGATTTCAGTTTTAGTTTAGTTTAGTTGAGGATTCTGCGCCTGCTGCGTTCGAGCATTGAAAATTTTATTAACTTGAGACAACTTAATTTATAAATACACTTTAAAAACAATTGAAATATGGGAAACTGAACTTAACAAACTAAACGAACATAAAATACGTATTGTATATGGATAGCGAACATATATCTATATGTAGTTTTGGATTGATTTAAGATGACGACGAGCTGCATGGGTTATTTGAGGGCAGCCTTGTTGGCCGTATTCACAATCAATTGCAAGCTTTCGTGCAATGTGCGGATCTGATTTAGAGTGTCCTCATCCAGATTCTCCAGCAGCTCTGCTTTCACCTCGGCCAGTTTCTTGGGCCGCAGCGATAATACGCCATTGCGTATGGGTATATTCACATTCGCAAATTTATCGGGCATGCTGTAAGAAAAGGGAATTGGAATTTAGTTAGTGGACTACGCAGACATACAAGAGGGTGGAGACGACATTACTTACACCTGAGCCACAATGGGACTGCCGTATTTGGAGAGCGCCACCTCGCCGGGCTTGGGCCAGCGCAGGAAGGCCATTGGCGGCGTGCTGGGCGATGTGTTGCGCTTCTTCAGCATGCGCGGCGTACGATCGGCACTGATGGCCTTTGGTCGTGTGGCCATTGGAGTGCGCATCTTGCTGCGCGAATTGCGATGGCCATTCGGGACGATGATGCTGTTGCTGCTGCCGGCGGCAATGGCTGTGCTTGTATTGCCCAGCACCTTGGGTATGACGCTGCCGCAGGCCGAGCGACTGCGACGTTCGCGGCGCGCACGCGCCGAGTGCAGCGGTCCGGGTGTGCGCATGGCCTTGGCCGAACGCAGCATGGAGCCCGTGTATGCGGACAGGGTGCTGGCGCTGCTGCAGCTGACGGCGCCGCCCAGGCTGCTGTCCTCTGTAAGGTAGCCTAAATAGAGTGTGCACCAGCAAATGCGACGAAGATGTGGATGTGGTTGTATGTGTGTGCGCGGATGTGCAAGTTTGTGTGTGTAAATGATGACAAAAATGTTAGAATTAGTAGAAGATTAAAGCAGAGGTTAGAGACCGCGCCACCAAAAAGCAAAGAGAAAAACATTGAAACTAAAACAACAACAAATAAATACCTTCGTCATTGCGACTGCTGGCCGCTGCAGTTACAGCTGCGCAGTTGGTGCTGCTGCCGCCGGCGACGTCGCCGCCATTTGTTGTATTGCTGTACATGGACTGCGAGCCCAGATGCTGCGTCTGATCGCTGGCCTTGAAGTCGCCAAAGTGCTCCAAGTTGGGCAGTATTTCCAGGAAGTCGCCCATTTTCATTTCGCGCAACTCCGATTGCAGGCGCAAGGTGACGGCCTGCAGCTGCGTATCGACCATTGCATTGTAGCGCTGCTCCAGATCGTCGATGCTCATTAGCACGGAATCCATTTTTAATTCGTATATGCGTATCTTCTCCTCGCGATTGGCGGCCTCGCGGTTCCGTTTCGAGTTCTTTGTTATCTTGGTGCGCGGCATATTGGCAGCGATTTTTGATTCACTATTTCCAAAATTTAGTCTAATTAAAAATATAAATATTTTAATTTTGCTTTCTTTTTTGTGTGGCGCAAAATGCAAGCGTCACTCTCTGTTTTATCTGTTTCTTTTGAGTTTTTCCGCCTCGTTTGTACAGCTGGCTTCGATAGGCTAACAGCATTGACATATCGATTGCAACATATCGATAGTATTCGTAGCAACAGATTTGCTAAACTTAACAGTGCAATTTGAGTAGTTTGACAGTGCTGTTTATTGCCGCGAAAGTGTTGGAGAAAATAGTTAAAATGTGTTATATAGCTGTATTTTTATTTACTTCTTTTAAAATGAGTAAGCATACGTGTATCAGATCGTTATATTTCATGTTATATTGAACAAAAGCAGCTTATTAATTGTGTTCGTGTGTATTGTAATTTAATTTTCGGCAAGCACCGTTATTTGCCAGCAAG